CCAGCCCCTTCCCCTAGGCTCTCCTCCATGCTCTCCGACAGAACTAACTAAATTCCTTCCAGCCCTGCCCCCCAGTCAGGGCAGCATTCCACCTTCCTTTGTTCCTCTCCATGGGGGGTGTCTGGCCACTGGTTCAACAAGTTTGGCATCACCTTTGCATAGTGAGGTTTTCCCTGCTGGGTCTTGCTCCAGACAGCAGGGGTCACCACAGCCCAGCAAGTACCCCCACTGCGTCACAGGGGGCTGGGCCGATGGGCCTGATCCTGGCCGGGGACTGGGGCTCAGTGTATAAACCACTTGGCCAGAGACTAGCTCCCGCCTTCTGCTCCCGCGCCCAGGGCTATCGGGGGCTTTGCAGCATCCCCCCCCCTCCACCGCCCAGCCCGAGGCGGCTTTGGGCCATTTCCAGCAGGTGCAGCTGGTGCCGGCTCCACCGGCTTGTGGAGCCAGAAACGCTGAGCTGGAAATGGGCAGGGGCCGCGTGGATTCTCGATTCCTCCCCACTGGGCCGGCGACGGGAAAACCAGCCCCTGGTTCCACGCAGCTCGCTCCGACAGGCCCCCAGCCGCCCGAGGGGGAGGGGAATCCTCCAGGCGCACGGGTGGAAGTCAGCAGGACTTCACGGTGGTGGTTCCGGCTCAGAAGGGACCCCCCCGGACCGCCTTCTCCTCAAACACAGGCCTGAAAATTTCACCCAGCTCAGAGCAGTCATGTGGGGCTGGCTCACACCGGCCGGATCTGGGGACGGCCTGAGCTGGAGAAGCAAAGCCTCCCGGCTCTCACCGTGAAACAATTGGTCATGTGGAAGTCAGCAGGACTTCACGGTGGTGGTTCCGGCTCAGAAGGGACCCCCCCGGACCGCCTTCTCCTCAAACACAGGCCTGAAAATTTCACCCAGCTCAGAGCAGTCATGTGGGGCTGGCTCACACCGGCCGGATCTGGGGACGGCCTGAGCTGGAGAAGCAAAGCCTCCCGGCTCTCACCGTGAAACAATTGGTCATGTCACCGGCTCTGGGTGGCACCTGCAGCTGCCGGTTCCTGCTCTGCCTTTCTCTGCTTCCGCGCTGGGCACGGAAGGTGTTCTCCGCCCAAAGCTATTGGCACCCCGTAATCAAGCCGTAAGCTTCCCAAGTCTCTGCCAGGCATCCCCGCCGGATCGTTTGGATACCAGGGCATGTAGTGATGCCACGTGGGAATCGGGCACTTTGGAAAGATTTAGATGTTTTTTCCAAGTCATTAATGTAACCGGGTTGGAGTGTCCCCCCATTTTAGGAATGACTTCCTTTCTCCAACACAGGTGTTAGGCATAGGAGTTAAATAGGCTTGCGCCAAAGCCAGCAAACACCCCCCGCCAGCGGAAAGTGAAAGATCTCGAATGAAAAGACACTGAGCCCTCCTCCCCTCTCAGCGCAAACGATGTGGGAGCTGATGAACGACTGTGCCCCATCCCGCTAGATCTCCGGTCAGCCGCAGAGTTTCCTGGGGCGTTTCTAATGGATGCTCGGTTTTCTGGGAGAGCCAAGGCACAAAACTAAAATGTCTCCCCTTCTAGGCCACTAGCCCGGAGCGCCAGGGTGGGGGGTGAATCGGTGAAATAGCTGAGGTTCAGGGGCTCACATCTCTTCCCTCCCTTTCTACCTTCATCTGGAGCCCTCTGGCCGTCTGTGGCTCTTCGTTCCCATCGCAGTAGGCGTGACACAGACTCGCCGCCGCTACGGACAGCAACACCGTCAGCACTAAGGGGATTTTCATTTTCCTCTCCGGAGGGCAGGGACGGGGCGACGGCCGATCTAAGGCAGGAGAGAGACAGAGGAAGGAAAGGCTGCACCGGTGCGGAGGAAGGCTGAGGGCAGGGGGTTAATTCCCACCATGGAGAGGTGGGGGCATTCATCTCTCCTTACAGAAGTGAAAGGAGCACCTAATAAATCATTTTCACTGTGCTTAGAGCCCCGGGCTGCGGCCCAGCGGCGGGTGCTGCACCGTTAGGAAGGACAACGGACAGTTTGCACACCGTGCCGCTGTCACCGCTCCCAGGACATGACAGAGACCCGGCGGCTGCCGTCCAATAAAAGATCTCACGACACCCACCTTGGTGCTGACGGGTATTGCAGACAGAATAAAGGCTGGATTAGTTCTTAGCATTAGCAGCGAGGACGCTGGACGGCTTTTTACTCCCCGCTCTGCCACTGGCCTGCCCGGCAACCACGGGGCAAGTCACGGCCCCCCCATGCCTCAGTTTCCCCATCATCAGAATTCGGATCAGCCTGCCTTGGCGAGGTGCTTGGAGACCCACGGGTGCCAAATGCAAGACAGGGCAACGGCAACACCCACTTGGTCATGTAAACGCTTGCAAATGGGAGTGAATGTTGCATAATCAGGCCCTAAAAGGCAAATCAGTTTGCTGGGGGGGGGACAGGACACAGGAGGCAGCTTGCTGGGGGGGCATGAAGGAGAAGTGTGTGGGGTGGGGGGGGATTTGAAAGCATCCAACACGGAATAAAACAGAATGTTAGGTAAAAAGCAGGATTGGTGCAAGGTGTGTTTCTCACTAGTGCAGGGCTGGTGCGAGGCTCGCACTAGTGTCCAAATGCCCAAGGCAGCTCCCCAGCCAGGTAGGGAAATCCCCAAACGACCCCCTTTCCCCAACCCTTTTCCCGGGCAGATCACCCCGTGCCACTTGGCCACCGCCCCAGCCAACCTGCGCAAAATCTGGCGTTTCACCTCCTCAGAATTTCGCACAGATCTGCGCTGGATTTTAAGCAGGGTTTTGCCCCACAAGCCTGAAAAATAAAGTCCCAACTTGGGAAGGAAACCCCGAAGCAGGGGACGCGCTAAGGACCAGCACCCGCTGGGAACAGGCAGGACAAGCCAGAGCCAAGCTGATAGCAAAGTCACTCCATGACCCCGTGGCTGTTGCCTCTGTGTCCTCCCGGCGAAATGACCAACCCCGTGGCACCTGCGTGGCAAGGAACAGGAAAATGTCTCTTCTGGGGCAGTGATGTGATGAGATTTGGTTTTGCTGATTAGGGGCCAGTCCCCCCTTGGCTGTTGGCATCGCATGGCTGGGACCCATATTGATTCTCGAGGCTAATCAGCCAATTTAACTGCCCCCCATCCCCCCCTCCCGCTGCCTAATCAAGTCTGTAATTTGCAGGGCACATTGCATGACCCCCTGCCAAAGCTGACACGGGAAGGGGGCAAGTTACGCCCCAGGAAATCTCCCTGTCCGTAACAAGGCACGTGTCCTGTTGGCATCGCATGGCTGGGACCCATATTGATTCTCGAGGCTAATCAGCCAATTTAACTGCCCCCCATCCCCCCCTCCCGCTGCCTAATCAAGTCTGTAATTTGCAGGGCACATTGCATGACCCCCTGCCAAAGCTGACACGGGAAGGGGGCAAGTTACGCCCCAGGAAATCTCCCTGTCCGTAACAAGGCACGTGTC